TAAACTTTGAGATGATAGCAGATAAAAAATATGGATCTAATACTTTTTAATTGATACCCTGCAATTACAACATATCTAAAGTACATTATTAAATCAATGACAGTGAGCTTCACAAGTCCCTTGTGAGCTATTAATTTAATTATCTTTTCTAAAAATATGATCATAGATTGATTTACCAATATCTACGAAACATCAGGATAATAACGAATAATAAGTGTTATATTATTAATAAGTGTTATATTATGACAGTGTTATATTAATCTAAATTTTAATCATACTAATGATCACAAACGGCCCATAGAAAGAGGAGGAGGGGGGGCGTAAGTGCGACACACACATATATTTATTCCTTGGTTTTTCTCGAAAATATACTTATTGTATAAAATAACCCAATTATACATTCACAAAAGAATGAGAAAAACATTAACTAATTGAAAACTTTAATTTTTTTTAATGCAATTATATGTATAGTATTGTTTTTTAAAATATTGCTTTCTCGCATAACTCAATTTTAAAGCAAAAGATCTGTTCTTTTCAGCTAAATATGCATTATTTGTCATACCTCTTTTTCTCTTCATCTCGAAAAGAGAGAAAGAAAGCTTCTAAAAAGGGCATCAGATTTAGTTCTCCCGCCGCGCACAATTTCTTTTCAAGCCGGAGTTTATTCAAAAAACGCTGAAATTTCCGAAACAGTAGATGAGTGAGCATTGTTGTATTGTTATCACTTTTGAGAAAAATCTCTACTTGCGTCCATGTCAATAATGCTCTATAATATCATTCCCTTTTTTAGATCTTTATGATCGGTATTCAATAGTGCGTTTCAAAATCATTTTAAAATAATTAATAAAATTAGAGAGAAAGAAATATAAATATAATAATTATAAATGTGATTGGCTTATATAACCGTTTTATATAAGCGTGATCAGACTACGCTTAAAACGATTTTAAATATAAGATAATCGACTATGATGAAGCATCAGCATATGATTATAATTTATGACATCTTAATAATTATAAGTTGAAGGATAAATTAATAAATATCTTGTCGATACATCTAGTCGTTCTCTCGAAAGGCATTCGCATCTTTATTCTGTCTGGATGAATGATGATAAAATAAACAAATTTCTCAACAATTTATAGAAACTCAACCACAATCATATTCGATCGTTTCATCATTTTTATCAATTTGCTTGATCATTCGGATTGCCAACTGCAAAACTATTATTTTGCTTTTCTTGTTCATTTTCTACAAATTACAATGATTTATTTAAAATATAAAATATTTACGTAACACATAGTTACGTAAAATATTTAATTATAATAATTAAGAAATTAGGTATGATTAAATTTAAATATTACAATTTAAATTTAAATATAACAATTTTTTTAATGCAGTCAGGCCAAACCATCCTAACGCGCATTTTTATATGCTTGCAAGCGAACCGGGGTTTTTAACCTAAATTCTAGTTTTGAAAATGATACAACCTTTTCGCAGATTTAACTGCACTTGACTGCACTGCAATGGCGCCTTCAATGTAACGACGCTATATCACATTCCATGTGCATGGAATTCAGATTGTCATTGTGAAAAATATAATAAATCAAGCTGCAAATCAAGAGTTACGATGATCATTCCTGTGCGGTGTTTCACCTGCGGAAAAGTCATTGGAAATAAATGGGAAGCATATCTGGGACTCCTTCAAGCGGAGTATACCGAAGGGTAAGAGCGTCTTGTTTTTATTTCTAACCTCAAAACTAAATTATCAATTGACAAGTACCTTTTTTAATAATTAAGTCATCTTTTGTTTTATTTTAATGATAATAAACGAGTTCTTTAATTCATTAGCCGCGTTTAGCAGAATGTTTACTTTGCAATTATATTCCTTTATATTATTCTAATTATACTTTTAAATCTAGAAAAATTATTTTATCTCAGTGAAGAAACTTTTAATAGTTGCAAAATAAACATTCTGCTGAATGCATTCATTAGTTGCGTTCAGCAGAACACGACAGTTTTGCAACCGTTTCACGATTGTTGCAAGACTTCCAACAGTTACAAAATAAATGTTCTGCTGAATGCAGCTAATGATTAATTAATCACATTAAGCACAAATGCAATTTTAATTTGTAAAAACTGTATTTATACATAATGCAGTTGATCGATCAATAGATTTAAAAATTTGCCTATTATGTATATATATATATA